TAAAAATAGATATAATTTCATTAGTTATATTATCTTTATTTTCTACAATTGAAAGATTCATTACCTTCAAATTTATTAATTTATTATATTCACTGCATTGTCCATTGTCTTCTTTTTACATTATCTTGTAATTAAATATCAAAGTTATAATACAAAATACATTATATATATATATATATATATATATATATATATATATATATATATATATATATATATATATATATATATATATATTTATTTATTTATTTATTTACCAAGTATTTTATACAAATATAATAAATATTAATATTTTTGTTCACATGATAACCTACGACACACATCTCACAATGCATGAAACATGCAGGGGAAAACTTCCACTACCAAATATCGATTAGAAAATTCAATAAATATTATCCTGCATTTATATATTTTGAATTACCGATTTAAATAAACAAATTCAATATTTATTTACATATGCATGAACATCTCCGATATAATATTGCGTTGATATACTTTGAAATACTTATTTAAAAATAATCATTGGGCATTATCCCATTCGCGCAAAGCGCGTAAAAAAAACTAGTATATATATATATATATATATATATATATATATATATATATATATATATATATATATATATATATATGTATGTATGTATGTATGTATGTATGTATGTATGTATGTATGTATGTATGTATGTATGTATTACTTTTTTTGATACCATTTTATGTGTCAAAGTTTAGTTTATGAGATTTGACTCAAGTTGTTTACAATTTATGTTTTTGTAGTATTTTATTTAGTGTAAGTATAATAAATTTATATATTTAGAAACTATATCAAAAATGAAATTAAGCGCACCCCGAAAGGAGGGTGGCCACTTGGGTAGATCATGATTCTTACATTAAGTCACAAATTCAATTGTTGCCAATATCCTCTCAGTCGCGCCCGTCACACAATGTTTTCTTAGTATAATTTGTCTCTACTTTGTTATTTGCAAGCTACTCTATAATCTATACTATACAAGAGTAAGATCGATTTACCTATTACAAACCCTAAAATAGTGGTTGTGGGTTTCCCTCTTCATCCAAAGCAAAGTGCCATCAACCGCAAAAAATAAAAAATAAAAAATAAAAAATAAAAAATAAATAAATAAATAAATAAATAATAAAAAACTCGAATTTAATTTTTTAAAAACAAATATATTAAAGAATATAAGCAAATAAAGAAAATATTCAATATAATTAATGAATAGTAAATGTGCTAGGTAAATTGAGACATAAAGAGTATTTTTTTTTTATTACTTATATTGTATATACAAATTTATTAGGTTGACTCTTGGAAAGTAAAGTCTAACATATTACCATTGAAATATGATGTTAACTATTATATTCAAGTATATAAGTAAATAAAGTTATTACTGTTAAGGCTGATAGATATTGTGAGGATTATTTGACGAGGCAGGGTTTCAAGTGTAACGTTCTGAAAAAATCTTAAAAGATTTGTATACTACAAGTTTGCATGTTCTATTAACTAATAGTGCAGAAACTGTCGACATAACATGTGCCATATAAAATGTATAGTGCTTTTACATTGACTCAATACTTTATTTCAATAGTAAAAAGTAACTTTTCCATTTACCTAACGAAAATAGGGGTGAGCATAGTTCTATTTTGGTTACTTGAATTGAAAATTGATATCTCTCTCTCTCTCTCTATATATATATATATATATATATATATATATATATATATATATATATATATGGAAAGGTTCAGGTACGGGTAAAGCTTCCCGTACGGTTGTGCGGTTAGATCTGAGCCATTGATCAAATCTAGATCAACGGCTCAAATCAATGAAAATTAAAAAAAAAAAAAAAACGCGTGTCTGGAAGCATAAGTATAAGCTAAGTGATAGAAACACGCACCTTAAGTGTTAGATCTTAAGCACAAACTCACGCACATTAAGTACAAAACTCACGCACATTAAGCACAACCTCACGCACATTAAGTACAAAACCCACACACTTTAAGTATTAACTCACAGACCTTAAGTTTCAACAACTACTGACATTAAGCACAAACTTACGCATATTAAGTACAAAACCCACGCACATTAAGCACAACCTCACGCACATTAAGCACAAAACCCACGCACTTTAAGTATTAACTCACAGACCTTAAGTTTCAACAACTACTGACATTAATCACTAACCTCACACATTAAGCACAAACCCTACGCACATTAAGCACAAACTCCACTCACATTAAGAACAAATCTCACGCACCTTAAGAACAAAAGCCACACTTTAAGTTTTAACAACTACTCACATTAAGCACAACCCCACGCACATTAAGCACAAAACTCACGCACCTTACGCACAAGACTCATGCATCTTATATACAAAACTCACGCACATTAATTACAGAACCGCTCACCTTAATTTTGACCTAGATGCAAAAATTAAAAAATTGCCACGCATTTTTTTTAAATTTTGGTAACTCTGAACGTTGATTTAAGCGAGATGAATGACCCAGATTAAACCGCACCTGGGCACCCTAACCCCACCAGAACCTAATTATATATATATATATATATATATATATATATATAAAGCAAAATTAAGTAGGGAAAAAGTTTATTGTTTTCAAATTTAATGGTAAAGTTTTATATTTAATATAATTTGTGTATATATTCATTTAAATCTCAATTATAATTAATTTGACTCCATATATATAAAAAGGAGAAATTAGATATAAAATAAACATAGTTCTTACATAAATAATCTTAAATGAATAAGTTTTTGGTGGAGATTTTCGACAAATATTTTCTGTTGTTTTAATTACAAATTTTATTTAAAACGTTAGTTATATAATTAAAGTAGTTATTTCAAATTCAAATTCAAATAATAATACAAGTAACAATAAACTTGTCCCATGGCTTTGGGAATGGAGCAGCTTTAAATCTCTAGGCCAGCTGTCTCACCCAAAAGAGGTGCCTACAATTCAGCGAGGGGATTAGTCACTGTGTCCGACGGTGAAAACCCTGGGTATACCAAAAAAAAAAACAAAAAACTTTAAAGTCAACATAATAATAACATAATTAAACTTTTAAAAATATTAAATATTACATTGTATTGTTATATTTACATTTTAAATAAAACTAATTCTGAGCTGAAGAACTCAAGTGCGTTTTTATGTTTCCACAACCATTACTTTCTTTGCTAATTTATAGGATGTTAAAATTTTCATTGGTAAATTTGTTAATTTAATATTAGTCCGTGCATCGCACGGGACAATTACTAGTTTAAATTAAATTTTAAATTTAGAGTGAATATAATACTTTTTTAAAAAAAAAATAATAAAGAAGCTAATTCATTAATTATAGGGTGAAAAGTTTACAATAAGATTGATGGAATGGTTAAATATTCCTTATAGTCGGACATAGAAACAACTTCCCTAGTAATGCTACAGAAAACTTGATTCGCAGACTGTTTCACAAATATGAAGCTGAATTCTTAGGAGGAACTTAAAGCTTCTTGAATGATTTGGTTAAACGTACCCCAGACTGGCACTAGTTGAATAGTTTTGCACACCGCCTGAGTATCTATTTCCATTCTACTATCCATTGACAATATCTCCATCGGGCTGAATTGTATATCATAGTTCAGATGAATGTCTTTTTCATTGTCATGTTTGTCACTCATGATGATATTCACATACCCCATGACCAGTTTTATCGTTTCACACTTTATGAAAAAGAACTTGCCAAGTAAACGAGAGGAAGAAACTCGTCAAAATAACGAGAGGAAAAACATAGAAAACTGCAAACAAAATTAAACCAGTAAAACAAAGCAAAGGGAAACAACAATGCGAAAATAAGAGAGTAACGACCGGTAGCGGTGGAGATGGAGGGGTGGGGCAAGGCGTAACTGGTGGCGAAGGTGGAGAATTGACGAGAAGACAGTGAAGGCAGAAAAAGACAATTAAGGCGGATGCTGTCTGCGGTGGATATGGCGGCGGCGGAAGACCATCGGACGCCGTCTCCGATTTGCTTGCTTCACGGAGGCGACGACCGTGTAAAAATTTGAGCGGTTGAAAACCAAAGGCGAGAGAGAATTAGAGAAGCCCTAATCTCTCAAATGACTTTTAGGGTGAATATAATATGATTAGTTATGGATTATACAGTGATGTTATATTATAGCATACTCAAATATAAATTTTATTGCAAAAACTTATGTGGGACTGTCTCACAGATGCTTGTCCGTGTGACGGATCTTGGGTATAAATATCACAATTTTAGTTATAAGTATTATAATATTTTTATTAGTAACAATCAATAATTTTATCTCAATTAGTATCATATTTTTACATATAAGTATTACAATATCCATCTATCATAACTTATTCATAAGTAACGATTTATTTTTAGTTCAAATTGGTATTAAATTTTCAACAATAAGTATTTCTTTCAAAAGTAATATTTAACATATAAGTATTACAATATTTACATTAAAATTACACTTTGTGAGTATAGCAATTTTAGTTATAAATATTACAATATTTATCATTGGTAATAATCATTACCCTAAATAGTATCACAAATTTACATATAAATATTACAATATCCATTATAAATAATAGTTTGTTTATTTCAAATTAGTATTAAATTTTCTATAATAAGTATTAAGATTTCTATCATAAGTAACAAACAGTTATCCTAGTTTTGACCATCTAACGAATTAAGATCCATAAGACAATCTCACACAAGTGTTATTCGAATTTGATTAGTTCGCGTATTAGATGTTTTAAATTTTGTTTCACGTCTAATTCGAACTTTGTTGGATGAAGGCTCCAATATCCTGCTATCGAAACGTGATATTAATTGCTATGTGAATAAAACGAAATAAATTTGTGCATTTGCTACTAGATATACCTTTTAGTATATATACTATAAGTGATTGATCTTGACAATTGATATTAGAGTACGTCACGGGCACACATGCTTTGTAGTTGAGGTTGGAAGGTGTTGAGAGCGATATTGTTGGGAAAAAAGCTTGGAGGGTGAAGTTCAATATCCTCCCAACGAACGAGTAAAATTACCTTTTTGCTACTAGTTATAACTTTTGACGTAATTGTAAAGACTTAATCCTAATAAACTTGATAAACTCTATATATAATTACATCCCCTAACATCATTATTTTGGATGACATGATAAACTCCTAGCTATTGTTTGAGAGTGTGCGAATGATTAATCCGTTCATGTGTAATAACGTAGCGTAATTGTTTTGATTTTAATAAACACTCATATAGTCGTTTTTTTTTTTTTTTTTTTTTTTTTTTTTTTTTTTTTTTTAAGTTTAAAAACATACAAAATTATTAACTATGAATTTGAATATGGAATCACAAGAATCCGTTACCTAAAAGTTTAAAACATTAAAATAATTTCGAATATTAGCATCATCAAAACAAAGACTGTAACGGCAACTAATAATCTGTATGAATCAACTACTTCTGCTGCATCATCTGAAAATTCGAAAATGATATCATCACTACTCCCGTCACTTCCAATTTCCTAAACAACCAGCCCCTCAGTACCTCGTAAATTACGAATCCCAATACATTATAATACTCCGTATTAAATGAGTTAATACCATCTAGGGTCTTCTGAGTATAGTGGTTTTTCCACGTTTAGTCCTAAACTTTTAAATGACCATCTGTAGTCTTTGACTTTCAAATTATTACCATCCGTAATCCAAGTTAATCACCCATATTCCTTCAATTATCAAATTTTAACCAATTATGGTCATTCTATGAGGACCATGGCTAGTTAAATTTTGGAAGTTGAAAAATCATGGATGGTTAACTTGGACCACATATGACAACAATTTGAAAGTCAAAGGATCACGGGTAAGCAATTTGAAAGTTCAGAACTAAACGTGGCAAAACAACTGTACTCCTATTAAAATTTGTAAATATATCCTGAGTTAATTTCATTTTTTATCCTAGATTTATAGGTGACAATTCACTTTTAATCCTTTTTTTATTAGAACATTCTCATTTGGTCCTAGTATTATCGTGGCATGACCATTTTTAGTCCTACATCTTCAAAATCGTTAAAATATCGTTAAATACAAAGACTTTTCAATCTTTTTTATATAAAGTATGTTGAATAGCTATATTTTTTATGTTTATTTTTTTTTAAACATTCATAATTGAAGACCAAAATGTTCTTGTATTTAACGATATTTAAACTATTTTGTCGATAAAGGTCTAAAAATGATCATACAAAGATAATACTAAGACCAAAAGTGAATATTCTAATAATAATAAAAAAAAGAACTAAAAGTGGACTGTTACTTATAAATTAAAAAAAAAAAAAGTGAAATAAACTCATATATCCTCGAAACTTAAGTATTTATCTCGAGCCTTGATTTTATTTGTTAAAGGAAAGAAAATGAATACAAAAATCATGACCTATTTCATTTTTGGATTAGTCAAAACATGCCATGACGATGAGGAGTAAAAAAAAAAAAAAAAAAAAAAAAAAAAAAAAAAAAAAAAGAAAAAAAGAAGAAGTTATGATTAGATATTAAGAAGCATTAATAACGTAAGCATATTGATGGGATTAATATACATACACACTAAATCATATAAATTTTGAATTCTTCATTTTCAATTTAATTCAAAAATTTATTTTCCAACATTTATGGTTATATATGTGAGGAACTTTAGAGGTAGTAGCAGGAAAGGTGCAACTCTATTTTATTATACTTGCGTAACAGTCAGCATCATATTTCGATAGCATGAGATTACCTCGATCAATGCTTCAAGTCTCAACTCAACAATATAAAATATTTTTTGTGCATTGCACAAGTGAATGACACAAAATGACTTCCATATTTAAGCATGTATGCATTAATTATCTCAGAAGTTTCTATAGTACCAAAAAGATAATCTGTTAGATTCTTAAAATGAAATGACATTTATTTAATAAAGATTAAGGTAGAGTCTCAAGACGACATTGTTACATATATCACACCTTATTAAATAAACATTATTATATTTTAAATCTAACAGTCTACTGATTTGACACTGTAGAGTTTTCTAATTTACACTTCCTTATTTCACTGTTTTGCTTTCTCTCTATTTACACAACTAAGCTAAGTAATTTTGGAAAATTCACATTAATCTTTAAAAAAAAAAGTCATTTTCTCGTACTAAATCAATGTCTCTTATTTATTTTGTGATGTTATATAATGCCTGATGAGAAGAAAAATTTCTTCATTTCATTGGAGAAGAAAAATTCTGTAGTACTTTTAGTAGTAGGAGAATGCCTTTTAATCTTTTCTTAATAAGGATAATTTTGCTTTTTAATTTTTTTTTTTTTATAACTTTGCATATGTAGTATTGCACAAATAAATGAAAACATTTTCTTTTGAACTCTTGCTTTCCAAATTTTACCGTCATTTGAAACTTTCCTATTCTCTACTTTCGAGAATCACGTGTTTTATGGTTTCAAAAAAAAAAAAATAATAAAAAATAAATCACGTGTTTTACTATTAAAATTAGTACGGAGTATATGGTAAATGTTAATGGATCATGCATACGTCATGTAACAGGGCTTTTGCAATCATTCATGTTATAGGACGGAATCATTAAAATAATCACTAAATGCATTTAATATTCCCAAAAAGAAAAAGAAAAAGAAAAAGAAAAGAAAAGAAGAACAAAATACTCCTTTCTCCAAAATGTTATAAAATTTATGACTTTTAATAGCTACCATTTTTTTTTTTGGTTATTTCTATAATTTACGCATTTTATCAAATATTTTACCTTTAAATTTACATAATTAAAGCACGACAAAATCCGATCAACCAATTCATTGACTGACAATGAATATAAAGCTATTATAACTCATTTTAAGTGTTACATCATTAGGTTAAATAGCATTTTTCAATCATAAATTAATTTTATAAGATGGTCTTCATTTAAGACATTTTTCTTTAACATAAAAAAGATTTGGAGCAAGATAATCCTATTATTCTAAAAAAAAAAAAAAAAAAAAAAAAGCATTCATAATGTACTTATAAAATTCTTTAAAACATTAAATAGTGTCATGGTGTAATAACATTTATAAACATACACTTAGATTTTACCACCTTTACTTTGTGTTTGGTTAATGATATATATTTTGTACCCAACATAAGATATTCACACCAATTAATTTGCATTCAACTCGTGAGCGATAAACATGCAATCTTTGATTTGCGAAAAAACCTACAAACACCTCCGAACTGAAAGTGCACTCGTGGTGAAACCCATCTTATAACTTTAGCAGGTAAATGATTAACTAATTTAAACTATGAAAGTTAATTGACAGCTCATTACGAGAGTCAAATGTAAAATTTTGTAGTTACTAAACTAACTGTCTAAATTGTTCAAAAAAAAAAAAAAACTAACTGTCTAAATAACTTGGTTGCATGCAATCTTGTGTCCAAGACCAGACTCGAAGATGCACATGAGTGCATTTTATTTGGTTTTTGCAGATTAAAAAAAAAAACAATTGGTTGGTTTCAAACTAGTGTAGGAGGTTTTTTATTTTTTATTTATTTTTTATTTTTTAATTCCTGCAAGTGATGCATTTTTGTGAGCCCATTGCTTTTGCTTTCAATAGAGATCAATAAAAAAAAAAAAAAGAGATAAGTGCTACGGCCCCTTATTGTTTGATCAAATATTGACCGGATTAATAATGGTAAGTGCGCGTTTCGGGCACCTGCTGCGCGCCTAGCTGGCACGTAAATAAGGTTGTTTATATATATATATATATATATATATATATATATATATATATATATATATATATATATTTATTTATTTATTTATTTATTTATTTATTTTCCTGAACATTTTTTTTTGTTTTTTATTCCTTTTGTTTCGTCTCTCCTCCTCACTCTCTTTCCTACATGAAATAAAAAAATCACTCAAAAACTAGAACTAGTATGGATGTTCTAATAAGCAAAAAGATTGATAAAACCCAACATCCATAAACTGCAGGTCAGACAAACACAGGAAAGCCATGATGAACAAACAACCTTAAAAAACACAGACAAATTAAACCAAAGCTTAAAAAAAAAAAAAACTAAAACGGGTATAAAGGCTCTTCATCTCCTCCGACCAAATTAAAGTCGCCAAAACCAGTTCAAACTTCTGACATAACCAACTAAACGCCGGCCGTGCCAACCACCGGTCGTCCTACCTCGCCACCACCAAATCCACTGCTCTGATCCGTCCGTTAGGCGTTCAATGCCATAAACATCCTGAGATTAGATTAGGACTCCAACAAATCCTCTGCTTCTCCAACCAGCGACGACCGTTTTGATCTCACTCCCACCATCTTTTCTCTCTCTCTCTCTCTCTCTCTCTCTCTCTCTCTCTCTCTATATATATATATATATATATATATATATATATATATATATATATATATATATATATATATATATATATATATATATATATATATATATATATATATGTATGTATGTATCCACCCTTAAATCCTTAACGTTAAAGTTGTTTAATTTGCTTGTGTTGATCGAACTGCAAGTATACCTACTTGACTATTATAAAGTTAGATATTCAGTTTATACAACCATATATGACGTTATATGACCCATCAGTGATCAGTCGTATACTAGCTTTGCTGCACCCCATCATGGCTTACCAGTATATATGGAAGTGATATGATGGCCCTTTCTGAATAAATTTTGGGATTGTTTTCTTTGGGAAAGTTACTATTTCTCGAGTGTCATTTCGGTATATTGTAACCAAATTTACTGTGCCATACTACTAGCTTCATAAAGGATATCTTAAAGTAATATTATTGTAGCTTGATACCTAATAGTATTGGGTATATAGCTACATAGCTACCAAAATTTATGTGTCATGCTTATATGATCATGCTGGGTACATAGGATTCAAAGTTAACGTTGTTATGTTGCAATAGTATGTGACATGTTAATTCAAACAAGTGTTGGACAGAAAATTAGAGGTTTAAGTTCAGCATTCTGTCACAAAGACATTATTTTGGCTAGTAAAGTTGGACATTTCATTTGTTATTAACGATAATTTGGAGTGTAGTGATAAGCAGGAACAATAAAAAGTATAAAAATGTCACAACATAACGCCAAAAGTAATAACTAGTAATAAAATCCCAACTTTATTTCTTCATATTTATCTAGCAAGTAGCAACTAGCGTCCCGTTTCATTGACAAAATGCTAAACTTGCCTCTCCAAGCTTCAGCTCAACTATTTTATATTTATGGGGAGCCAATCAGTCTCATAAAAATTTCATACTACTACTACTGTTGTTGTTATATATGATCATTGTTTTGGTAAAGTTTATGGTGCGAATTGATATTGGTGTCTCTTGCACATGGTACAAATAAAAAAGTTTTGGTGTTTGTAGTGAGTGCATTGAGGACAATGTCCCAACAATATCCTCATTATATTACTTTTGGTACAAACTCCAATTTTATTTTTTTATTTTTAATTTACCCGGTGCTATAGACATATGTGTCCATTGATACATTAGAATTTTTCATTATTATTAGTATTGCTACTATTATACCTTTTATCTCTTTATTCTTGATTTGTTTCTTTATTTTGATTTTTTATAATTCTAAATTCAACTTTTTTTTTTGTTTGGTAAGAATTTAAACATTTTAATAATGTATCAATTCTATTTACTAATACTAATTAATTAATTTAACTTATTTGTAAAATTAAATGGTATTAAGTTTAGTCAATCATGTTAGTTGAATTGATGCAGAGTTTTAGTTGGATTGTAAAGAATGAATCCTCCAAGTTTCTTGGTTATGACTACTATATGTTCATTC